TGATTCACGATGTCTCACTTGACATTTTGTCTCAGAGAGTTTGAACTGAACTGAGAGTGAATCATCCTGAATGAAGACAAGCACAACGATGAAACAAACTTGCTGATAAAAGAACACTTTATTAACCCATTGAATGTTCTGAGCCGTCAGTGGAGGCAGAACCATGGTTCTATCAGGAACAGCTGAGGTTCTATGTCAGGTTTTATGTCAGGTGTTATGTCAGGTTCTATCTCGGGTTCTATCTCTGGTTCTGTGTCAGGTTCTATCTTAGGTTTTGTCTCAGGTTCTATGTCAAATTCTATCAGTAAAAGCTCAGGGTCTATCTCAGGTTTTATGTAAGGTTCTATCTCAAGTTCTATCAGGAACATCTCTGGTTCTATCTCAGGTTCTATGTAAGGGTCTATCTCGGGTTCTATCAGCAATACCTCAAGTTCTATCTTGGGTTCTATGTCAGGTTTTATCTCAGGTTCTATGTCAGGTTCTATCTCAGCTTCTATTTCAAGTTCTATCTTGGGTTCTATCTCAGGTTCTATGTCAGGTTTTATCTCAGGTTCTATCTCAGGTTCTATTAGCTACAAACAGATGAGCAGGAAAACAATAAAGAGAACCGGTAGCTTGTGAGAAGTTCTGGAGATCTAGAAAAAGTCACCATACATCCAGGAGAACAATGTAGGAATGCCAGTACACATGAGTACTGAGTACCAGTGAGTACCAGTGAGTACCGTTGAGTACTGAGTACCGGTGGGTACTGGTGAGTACTGAGTACTGGTGAGTACCAATGAGTACTGATTACCAATGAGTAACAATACCAGTGAGTATTGTTTCGGTGAGTACGAGGTCTGCTGATAAGTTCTATCAGGTTTCTTTTATCAACTCATCTTCAACGTGTCTTATAAATACTCTGTTACCGCTACAAGTCAAAGAAATCAGAATATTAGATCTATAACCCCCAGACCCCCCCCTCATGACATCATTAAACAGGAAGTGTTTGGTTGCCGCCCCATTATCAGCTGGAGAGCATGCAGCATGGTGAGTAAAGAGAAGATGAAACGTTTTGTGACAATGACAACAATAAATAAATGTTTGAATGAATTATTAGAAATATTGATGTATTATTTTAATTATGTGGGTAATTTTGAACCCGACTCAAAGAGTCAAGAACGGACTCATTAAAGCTAAAGGAGCTGGTTAGAACCAACCAGAGAGTCAAAGCTCAGCTCATGAATGGAAAGAGACAGAAGGTTCATGAAGTATTTCACATAGTTTATGTTGTGTAGAGCGCTGTGAAGAATATTAATATTAATAATAATAATGATGATGATAATATTCTGTCAGAGATCATCAGCTCTGCTGTTGTTGGATTGTTTCTACTTGTTGGTGAGACTGAATCCTCTTATTGAGAATCTGGTCCTCATTGTGTTCTCAGACTGTGACTCAGACTCTTAGAGATAAAGGACTCTGTGAACTCTCAGACCAAAACCTTTTGTCCCCTCACTGTGATTGTCTCACATTCTTGTTTCCTGTCTTTTTGAGCGTCGTCCTCGTCCTCATGAGAAGAAACAACAGTCCACTGAAGTGTTGAGATGCTTCTTCAGTTTGTCCTGAGCAGTGTCCTTCCGGTCACCTCCATTCACTTTACATTAAAGTAACTTAATGTCACATACAACCAAAAAAATCTGGTTTAAAGGAAGAAGTTGCCCTTCAAAATAAAAGTCTCTGCTAAATCCTCGGAGGCTTTTACAGGAATTTGAACAAACAGTTTAAGATAATGAGCATTAATTAATTAATTGATGAATATGAATTAATGGCATTCTTATGATGTGATGCTTTATGCTTCAGCTGTTTTGAAACATGAGATTTTGAGGCAAAGAAGCAAAATATTTAGTGCAGTAGTTATCCGACTGTCTCAGCTCATGTTGAGCAAGTGGTGGAGGGGGGGCTCTGGAATTGCCAGTCGGCAGTGCCGAAAGCTGAGTTTATCTCGGGCTACGCTTCCTTGCTCTCCCTCAGCTTTCTTGCTCTAACTGAGACCTGGATCACACCAGAAAACACCACCACACCTGCAGCTCTGTCAGATGTGTACTCTGTCTCTCACACTCCCAGAGCTGCGAGGCGGGGTGGTGGTACTAGCCTGCTAATCTCCCCAAAATGGAAATACTCTCTTGTCTCGGTTCCTCAGTTCTCCCCGTCCTCTTTTGAATTTCATGCGGTTACTGTCACTCATCCAGTCAAGCTCACCATTGCTGTTGTGTATCGCCCACCAGGCCCTCTTGGTGAGTTCCTGGAAGATCTCGACACATTAGTCTCGCACTTCCATGACGATGGCTCAGCACTCATCCTGCTCGGCGACTTCAACATCCAGACTGATAAATTAGAACCTCTTCTTTCCTTCCTCTCGTCCTTTGACCTTTACCCCTCCTCTTCTCCTCCTACCCACAAGGCCAGCAACCAGCTGGATCTCATCTTCACTAGACACTGTTCTACTGCTAACCTCTCCGTCACTCCCCTCCAGCTCTCTGACCACTATTTCATGTCCTACTCCCTCTCCCTCTCCTCTCTCCTTACTTCCTCCACCTACCCACATGGTTTCTACCCGTAGTCATCTCCGCTCCCTCTCCCCCGCTGATCTTTCCTCTTCTGTTACCTCTGCTCTCCCTGACCCTGAATCCTTCTCTCTCCTATCCCCTGATAATGCTACTGATCTTCTCCTCTCCACCCTTTCCTCTTCTCTGGACAACCTCTGTCCCTTCACCTCCAGGACAGGACGGCCAACCCCACCTGCCCCATGGCTGTCGGACTCAGTGCGTACTGATAGACGGAGCCTAAGAGAGGCTGAGCGAAAATGGAGAAAAGGCAAACTCCCGGGGGACCTTCTTAACTTCCAATCTCTTCCTTCCAATTTTTCCACCACTCTTTCAACTGCTAAAGCTGCGTTCTTCCGCTCCAAAATCCTAACCTCTGCTTCCAATCCTAAAAAACCTTCTCTTCACTCCTCCAACCCCCTCCTCCTACTTCCTCCCTTCTCCCTGACGATTTCGCCAACTTCTTTGACAAGAAGGTAAATGATATCAGATCCTCCTTCTCTCAGCCCCCCTCTCCCTGTCCACCCTCTCCCTCTCTACCCTCTCCAGCTCTTCCCCCACAGCTCTCCCTCCCCTCTCCATGCCCCATCTTACCCTATCTTGCTCCCCTCTCCCCTGACGAGGTCCTCAACCTTGTTACATCTAACCACGTGCTCCCTTGACCCGATCCCCTCCCCTCTTCTTCAGTCTATTGCGACTGAACTCCTTCCTTTCCTGACCCAGCTCATCAACACATCTCTTGTTTCAGGATGCTTTCCCACGGCTTTCAAGACTGCCAGAGTCACCCCCCTTCTGAAGAAACCATCACTTGACCCCTCTGATGTCAAAGAACTTCAGACCGGTTTCTCTTCTACCCTTTCTTTCCAACACTTGAACGTGCTGTCTTTACTCAACTGTCTTCCTATCTCCACCAGAACAGCCTCTTGGACCCCAACCAGTCCGGGTTCAAAGTGGGTCACTCGACTGAGACAGCCCTCCTTGCGGTGACGGAGTCGCTTCACGCAGCGAGAGCTAACTCTCTCTCCTCTGTCCTGATTCTGCTGGAGCTGTCTGCGGCGTTTGACGCTGTGAATCACCAGATCCTCCTCTCCACCCTCGAGGGGATGGGCGTCTCAGGCTCTGCACTCTCCCTGTTTGCATCCTACCTGACAGGTTGATCCTACCAGGTGACATGGAGGGGGGCCGTGTCGGAACCACGCATGCTGACTAAGGGGGTTCCACAAGGTTCAGTCCTGGCCCCCCTTCTCTTCTCGCTCTACACAACATCTCTGGGTTCTGTTATTCGCTCGCATGACTTCTCTTACCAATGTTATGCTGATGACACCCAGCTGGTCTTGTCATTTCCCCCCGGTGACACTCAAGTGGAGGCACGCATCGCTGCGTGCTTGGCTGACATCTCGAAGTGGATGACGACACACCACCTGAAGCTCAACCTGGACAAAACCGAGCTACTGTTCCTCCCGGGGAGGGGTTGCCCTCACCGAGACCTGTCCATCACCATTGATGATACCGTGGTGACGCCAACTCGGACTGCGAGGAACCTGGTTGTGACCCTGGATGACTAACTGTCGTTCTCAGCAAACATTGCATCGGTTACACGCTCCTGCAGATTCCTGCTCTACAACATCAGGAGGATTCGCCCCTTCCTCACTGAGGAGATGGCGCAGGTGCTCATCCAGGCTCTTGTCATCTCCCGTCTGGACTACTGTAACTCTCTACTTGCCAGAGCCCCGGCGTCGGCCATCAGACCTCTGGAGCTTGTCCAGAAAGCAGCAGCTCGCCTAGTGTTCAATCGGCCCAAGTTGTCCCACACAACTTCCCTTCTCCGTTCTCTACACTGGCTCCCTGTAAGAGCTCACATCCAGTTTAAGACTCTGGAGCTAGCCTACAGGGCAGTGAAAGGAACAGCTCCTTCCTATCTCCAAGGCACGGTCTAGCCCTACACCCCCGCCCGACCACTTCGCTCTGCTGCCTCGGGGCGATTGGTTGCCCCGTCGTTCAGTGGTCCCTACGGCCGATCGACCCGGTCGCGGCTGTTTTCTGTCCTGGCCCCACAATGGTGGAATGAACTCCCCACTGACGTCAGGACAGCAGAGTCGCTGCCCATCTTTCATCAGGCTGAAAACTCACCTCTTCAAGAAGGCCTACCCTTAGCCTTCCACTCAGCAACTACTTAGCATCTATTGTATTCATACTAGCTTATTGCACTTATTGTATTCATATTAGTTTGTGGCACTTATTGCATTCATTTGCTTCTACACTGTATGTTGGCTCTGGTTTATGCTCTTAGATGCTTGTTTGAAGAAAGGAGATGCACTTATGACTTCTGGTGACTAGTTGTTCTCTTGAAAACCGATGTTGAATACACTTATTGTAAGTCGCTTTGGATAAAAACCTCTGCTAAATTACTGTAATGTAATGGAGCAGAGGACCGGTGAGAGACACGAACTTCACTAATATCGTTATAATCTCACTCCTGATCCCTCTGTTTCCTCCAGATGTGTGTGAGTGTGACTCAGAGCTCGGCTCCCCCGGCTGGAGGGAACCTCTGGACTGCGTCCGAGCCTCTGAACTGTGCAACCAGAACAGCCAGTGCAGCTCCCGGTACCGGATCATGCGCCAGTGCCTGTCTGGGGGGGACAAGGAGCGCAGCGCCATGCTGGCCTCCAAGGAGTGCCAGGGAGCGCTGGAGGTGCTGCAGGACTCGCCGCTCTACGACTGTCGCTGCAAGAGAGGCATGAAGAAAGAGCTGCAGTGTCTGCAGAACTACTGGAGCATCCACATGGGTCTGAGTGAGGGTGAGTTCGTCCAGAGTCCTGCTTCCTCTCAGAGGTTAGAGCTGAACCTGTGAGTGGTTTCAAGAGAACTGCACAAAGGCGGCTCTGCCTCGATGCTTTCTGTTTGAATGTTGCCTCAAGTAGAGTGAACAAGGAGAGTGTTGCTTTTTTACTCTCATTAGAGTAAAAACTCACAGTAGTATACCGTCTTCTCATTCTGACGGCCTGCCCGTTCTACGGTTCTTGTAATTCGATTTATGCAAACCATTTCAAGATACAATAACAACAGCAGGTACAGTTAACGTCTCTGTCAAACAAGCACTTCAAAAATAGCCGATAAAATATCGCCGTGACTCACCGATTATGATTCATAACGTCCCACTTGTGCATGCAAGTCCAGCAAAAACGGTCTTGCTAGGTGGCTAAGGGTCCACTCGATCGAATCCAGTAAAAGATTTAGTCCAAAACACATTAGTACGTCCATAAAGACCCACGGGGGGCTGTTGCATCATTTCAAATTAGCCAGCAGATATGATAACTCGCGATCATATTTCGGGCATAACTTCACGTTCCGTGTCAACAGAGCGGAGATTTTCATCGCAAAATGGAGCCTGCATTCCGCCGGTTAGATTGACACCCCATTTGACCCAATAGGAGCTTCTATAGCCCGGCCACAGTCTGGAACAGCCAACGAGAGTCCGCTTTGAAAGACAATGCCCGCCTCACTTCTTTGGGTATAGCTCGAGCCAATTGCAACAGATCCAGTTCAAACTCAGGCTCCATATAGCCAATGAAATTACGAAGCCAAGGATATGCAGATTTATCAGATTGAATGCTGGGAAAGTTTTCTAACCTGAACTGGAAACCATGAGTCAAGTTCCTGGGACAGAGTATGAAGACTAAAGTCTGGTTCGTGAGAATTTTCAAGAATCTGTGAAAGTTGATAATGGTTAAATATGATATAGTTAACCATACATTGACATAAATACACTATAGTTTGAATTTCGAACACGTAGTTTATCGTAGTATATGCATTTTGACGTGGTGACGCGACTCTCCAAATGCGTTTTTATGCGGCCACACTCTTAGTAAACCACGTGTAAAATATTAATTTTCTGTCGTATTGTTATCAAATTTTAACTTATACTAGGTGTCATGACTGTTGGCTGTCAACGGAGAGTCTTTTCAAGCCTGTAAGTCCCAGCCATAGATAGCTGCTGCCATCTGTTGGCCAAAACAAATCTAGGCGGAAATAAAATGCTTCTCTTTCACTGTGCTGAAAACGCATTAGCTCAATGCTAGTAGCACTTACGGTGATGCTGACTGATTGTGAAGAAACTTCAGAGTGTTACCGTACAATAGAGACTAAAACCATACATGTACTCCCAATGGTTCAATAAGAGCTGTCAGTTTACTTTGGGTACGCGGTTGATAGGCGTTTTAGGAAAATTATGCAGGAATGAGAAGAGGCTATAATATAGAGGATTGTCTTACAGTAGTGTACTATAATATAGAGGACTGTGTTACAGTAGTGTAC